CGATCCCAATACGAAGTTCGCGAACATCAGGGATATCCATCGGGCTCAAATCGAAGCGGGTGAAAAGGAGGTTATCACGGCTGAATCCAGCGACTCTGAATGCCCTAGTGAGGCTGGCAGCTGTATTGTAGTGGGTGTGGTTGAGGATCAATAGTTAATAGTAATGAGGAGGTTGGGTTGTGATCCCATCGTTTTTGTGGTGCCAGAAACAGGGGGGTGCCAGGAAGTGGGTATGTTGACTTACTTGTACACTTCTTGTCGGAACTGTGAGCGTAGCCGATTTTGATTATCACTCCTCTTGGTCCTCTTGGTGAAGGCTGAAGTGGATCCCAACGTTATCTTTCGGAACGCCTCAAATGATTGCAGCTTGTGGCACATCTCCACGTGGTACTGTGTCGATAGAGACCACGCCCGTTTCTAGCCATGCAGGTGCTTTTGCAACAGTGATCGAGCTGGGCAGTTCGTGTCCGAAAGTGGACTGGGGCTTAATGGAAAGAAGACCCATCAATATAGAATGTCTCCCATTCTTCCACAAAACACCAACACAAAACGACCTGGCATTCGGCCTTAAGCTACAAAAACCAATACTTTATCCATTTGACCGATATACATCACATGGCAGAGCTCATCGGCGTCGCAGTGAAGTCCACGCTAAGCATCTCATCCAACCCACTTCACATTTATATCGCAATTGCCTGGTTTCAACTTAATCTCCTGGAACTCTTGCTTTCCTAAGGTTTTCCTATCATCACTCCAGTCACTTTCGGCGGAAGCCTGGTATTCTTCGCTGTCGATTAATAGGCAAACAGGTGCGAAAAGAACCCGTACGACCGATTTTATATAGCTCTCGTATATAGAGACGGAATCGTTGTTCAAGATCGAAAGCTATATTAGGTATACTTACGCGTCTATGAGTGTAAGGTATATGTAATGATTTCAGAAGCCTAGCTATAATAAGAGAAAAATCAAAAGTTAAACCTTAGAGTATGTGTTGGATTTCTTGTCGGATACTAGTTAATAAATATATATTGTATCTAGAATTTATAGATAGGCCGGATTATTACGATAAGAGATATTATTTTTGATGAAGATGCGATGATACCGGCAGTGCCGCTCATCTTCATGATTTATCTTTGCCCGGAAAGTGAGTAAGCTTTGGCTTCTGAGATACCACGACTAATCGACCGCGCCACAGGTCCACGTTGGTACATAAAGATGAACAGGCCGGCTGATGCATTTGCGTCGCTGCAGAGGTTGCGGTTCACCAAGCTACAGGCTGCTCGCGATCTGCTACTCATGCACATTGCTCTCGAGACAGAGAAGAGCCTATTTGCTCACAGGGGAAGTGCATTGAAGCGCTTCCAGGAGTTGTTCACAATTCCCAGGATACGGAGGGCCAATCTGGCCGCGGCGACAATTATGCTGGCCCAACAAATGTGTGGCAGTAAGTAATTGCATGTTGGGGTTCTTCTGCAAATAACGGAACTAAGCATGACAACAGTCAATATCATATCGTTCTACTCGTCATTGATCTTCGTCGAATCCGGATTCTCTGAGCAGAGGGCTCTGTGGGCATCATGGGGCTTTGGACTGGTGAACTTCACTTTCGCTAACCCCGCCCTGTGGCTCATCGACAGCTACGGTCGTCGAACCCTTCTGCCCACCACGTTCCCGCACATGACATGGACCTCGCCTGCAGCGGGGTTCTGTTTCCTCATTGGAGGCGACGGAACGGCTCGACTTGCCCTCATCGCGCTCTTCATCTTCTCATTCACGGCCTTCTACAGCATTGGCCTCGGTCCCGTTTGCTTCGTCTACGCGGCAGAGGTTTTCCCTTTGTCCCACCGAGAACTTGGTATGGCCTGGAGCGTCGTTATCAACGCTGTCGGGGCTTCCATCTTGGGACTGACTTTTCCCTACATGCTGTCTGCGCTCACTCCGACGGGGGCGTTCGGCTTCTACTGTGGCTTGAACATATTAGCTCTACTTATGATCTTTGCCTTCTTGCCTGAGACCAAGCAGTTGACGTTGGAGGAGTTGGATGTAGTGTTTGCTGTCAGAAGTTGGAAGTTTATCCGGTATCAGTTCACCGTTGTGATTCCGTACTGGTACAGGCGATGGATCTTGTGGCAGCGGGAAGTTGTGTTTGAGTCAATTTCTCACGGATCCTCGTCACAGGATATGTAAATTACCACGACGCAGAAGCAAGGATAGTTGTTATCATTCACGGAAGCGATACGCTTACAACTTGGATGCAATCAGAATTCTATAAGCCGACAGGCTTCATTTCATATGCATCTCGTGACTTATGGGGGGTATCAGACAATAAGCCCACTACTTCCACCACACTCCTTCCATTGATCGACTTAATCACAACACTCTTCGCTTCCTCTCTAGTACCGTGACTTAAAGCATGGTCCCTCAAAAATTATATTCTCTGACAGGTAATCAATGGTTTACTGATACTGGGCACGGTATTTATCCCAGAACGAATGCATCCGAACCCCTTGGCCGGAGGTAAAGTGTGTGAAGCAGGCGCTAACTGAGGTTAGTCATATGTCCTTCACGTATCAGAAGATTCGCTCACTCATCGGAGTAATCCATGTAGTTGGTAACAGGATCAGCCCCGGGAAGATCGGGGCACGTATCGCGGCCGATAGGACACCCAAAGGCCTCTTCCGCCTCAAATGGTGTGTCGTCGACGAAGTCACCATCTCCACCGCATTCATCGCCCTGAAACGTGTGGTATACTACACCCAGAATTAGTAAACTCGTCTCTTCAGATGTGGGAGACTGCTAGATAGCTTACGTCCAAGCCAATGGCCGGTTTCGTGAGTCGCCGTGTGGCCGCCGTTATACGGACTGAGGGAGCCTCCAGGAACAGATGCAGCTCGAATGACGACACCATCCATGTAGAACTCGTCTGAGCCGACTACCACGGCGTCTGGCCAGGAAGCGAAACCAAGGAGCGGCGTATCGGGTATAAAGTAGATGTTCAAGTCCGCGTAAGTGCCCTTTCTAAGCGCTTTCTTCATGGTGATGGACACTGGTGACTCGGCAGCCCACGATGCGTTGATCGTCCAGTCGGCACCGACCTGAGTGAACTGCACATCATGGGGCGCAAAGGCTCCATTCATGACGGCCAATTGTCTGTCCAAGGTGCTTTGAGGATGAAACCCGCCGTCGACGGTTTCGTTTGCCGCAACGACGTGCCAGTAGATGTTGATATTGATTGGAACCGGTTTCGCCAAGCCGTTCGCATTTTCCGTTAGCCGAAAAACGCGGGACACTTCTCCATGTTCCTGGAGGGGGGCCGGGGTGCCGCAGGTACGCTGGCTTGTGACGCCCAAGGCGGTCACGAGGCATGATAGAAGCGAAGCTCTCAGCCGCATCTCGTCGGTGATTGAAACTGAACCTTACAAACGAATGGAAGAGAGCTTCGTTTTACGAGGCAGCGATGAAAGTCAAAAGAAAGCAAAACTTGAAGATTCTCTGAACTTGAACAGAAAAGTCACCAAATACATATATAAACATGAGCCGTTCACAGAATCGACATGTAAGCAGTGAAACTTCGTATAGACGTATGATGTTGTCATCGAGACAGTCTAATGCAACGGGCTCAGTAGCAGATGCCAACATAAGAACACGAGGCGGAATCGAAGGCTTGAAAAGGCAGGAGGTCTCAATCCTAGGCTCGCATACGAGGCTATTTGACTGAGACAAGCAAGAATTATCTCAACTTCTTGGCTGTGAAATGCTTCCTTTTTTCTTTTTATCTTTCCATTCGCGCGCAAGTGCAGGCATCTGAACGTTGGTTGCTACCTTCCTTATTCTATGGCCTTGGCCTTCCGGTGGGACGGAAACATCTATCGTGGATATGTTTCCACTGTTAGGGTAGGATCGAGACCGGTCCCATTGGACTAAATGGGCAGAATAGACGAACATCTCGCGTTCCGTAAGCTCCGATTCCGGGTTAACGTTACTGCTTAACACTCAATTTGGTCGTTCTAACATAGCCACAATTGCAATGATGTCTATCAATCTTACTGATATTATTTTGGTCTTTGGGGAGGGGGGGATAAGTGTTTGCTCCCTGAAGTATCGACAATGGTGCTCCATTATCTCTTTTGTTCCACAGCTACCTAAGCTTATAATCAGACTAGAGCAACCAGCACACAGCCGAAAATAACTTTGATATACGATCGACTATTTTCGTGCATCGTAACACATGGTCTACCTTATTGAGAACTTTTGGAGAGATATAGATAACAGCAGATGTCTTCTAGAAGACCCTTGGATTGAAGGACTGGATTAAACTCTCTGGACTGGGCTCAGGCGAACCTTCAGAGGACCTTTTTCCCAAAGGCTGTAAACCTTCTGTTTCTCCGCCCATCCACGACTTTCTTCCGCCAGCTCCATGTCAGAGTTCCAAGCCAGATGCGCCAAAATAAGTCGCATTTCGACATAAGCTAAGTTGTTCGGGTCAGCAAAATCTTCCTGAGGCCCATAGAGCAAGTAAAGTGTGCAAGAGGAGGGGGGTAATCTTACTTTCGTCCCAAACAATTCCGAGCTCCGATGTGAAATGGCTGGAATGCATCACGGTTATCTGTGGCAAACTCTGGATCTCCGAGGAATCTCTCGGGGCGGAAGCTGAAGGAATCCTTGAAGTATGACGAAGATGTGACCATGACTGATGCCCCGCCGATTGAATCGGCCGAGGAGGGGATTGTGTTTACCTATTCCTACTCGGGAGGAACAGAATCACTCACTAGAAGATTCGATGAATTGATGATTGACGATTCAGACGGAATGGAAAAAATCACCTGCGGAGTCGCGCGATTGAGTATTACCCCTCATCGAACATTCTCCGTTGAGAACACCCAAGTGGGAGAGACATCTCAGGATGTCCAGATGGCCAACAGTGACTGGTAAGTTGCTGAGACCCGCGTCGGTGACGCGTGAATGTTGCATCGGGAGATGAATAACGCCCTCCGGGGGAGGGAGGGAGGGGTGGCAGCCAGCGTTGCGTGGTACGATGCGGAACGCGTGAGCTTGAAAACGGCGCTTGGAGCGGAAAAGCGGAGATTCCGGCTGAGTTGCAGTCGAGAATAGGCGAGCTCGGGGGAGGAGAGACGGATGAGGAACGGGAATTAGGTGAAAATTGGTGAAGATGGGCGCGGTATGAGTGCTATAGTAGTGGCAACCAAACTGAATGATCTTATGGACTTGATTGAACTGCTTACCTGCTGTTGGAGAGTGTTGTGCTAATGGACCGCCGCTGTGACCCAACGTTGATACCTTACTGGACACTGCTTGAAAGAGAAGCCAGGCCCAAAGCCCACCCTGCCTTCTGTGAAATGTTTGCCGTAATAGATAGCACCCCGCTGCCATTCTCTTCCGGACGCCATTCCGACCCCGCGTTCCCCACCCAAACTCGCCGTCCACAGACCACCGGCCCCCGCCTCCGATTCGCTCGTCACCGACCCGGACAACCCGCCTCCACAATCCACCGTAACACCGCCGGCCGGCCCCCATCGTGACAAATCTGCATCCAAATCCGCGAAAACTCTTTGCAGAATTTTTGATGATCTCCACGACTAATCCTCTCTCGCAGCAGCCCCGCAAACCCGTCTCCTCTCTTTCATAAACTCCAATCTTGCCTAGCCTCCTATCAAGCAGTTCCACTTGGATCTTCTTCCAAGGCCGGTTGGCCCAATGGCAAGGCGTCTGACTACGATCCCCTTCATCCCTCCAATCGAGAGTTGAGAGATTCGTGTAATCAGGAGATTCTGGGTTCGACCCCCAGGCTGGTCAATATCTTTTGCTCATCCGGGTTCCCCAACCCCTTCTTTTCACCGCCTCCGCCACCCTGAGGGTCCTTGGCCATCTATCTGTCGGAGGCAGACATGAACATTTGTCTCTATGGCTCAGTCGGTAGAGCGTTGGTCTCATATCAAATACATATGACTCTAGAACATCTAGGGATATCCAAAGGTCGCAAGTTCGAGCCTTGCTAGGGACATTATCTTTTGTTGGATGTTGCCATGGCCGCCTTTTTGCACATCGGCTGATTTGACGTCGTGGGTTGGTGAGTCGGACTTCTGCTTCAGTCAATAGCGAACAAGAACATGCTCAGGCACGGCGCGAATGACTCAAATATGAAAGACGTGTTGGTAAAATGCCATTTCTTCATTAGTACTAAGTTCGTCGTCCAAGTGGACGGATCGCACTTCTCTTGGGGTATCCAGTCTCTTCCAACGTCTCCTCTGAGACTCTCTCCACTGACTCACACTCCTACACAATTATGCTCCACATTAGGCGTGGATAGCCTGCTGGACCTGAGGGTACACGCGAACCATCTCATCGTACAGTTGAGGGTGATCGCGCATGAGAACCTGGGGGTCCCAAGCAGAGGCCACGAAAATGGTATCGATACCACTCGAGATGGGCGTGGTGAAGACGTTGGCGATCTGCAAGCCGATGAGGAAGGAGAAGGCCACGACAACAGGGGTGTAGTTGCCGCCCTGGTTGTAGGCGGGGTTGGTGAAGACCATGTACAGATAGGCAAGGAAAGCGCAGGCATAACCGATGAACGTGGCGCCGAAGGAGAGAACGGGGCCGATGAGGCATTCCTGGGATATATGAGTCTACTGATGCGAGAAAAAGGAGGCTTTAAGGAAATACTCACATTGACAAGGGCGTCGATGCCGCGATCCTTAATCATCTTCCAGGTGTCCTTGGCTGCGGGGATGTAGGCCTTGCCGTAGAGGGCAATGTGCGAGAAGGCATATCGGTTGAGGAACGTCACGGCCCAGTCGAGCAGAGAGATGAGGCAGCTCAAGATGCAGAATAGCACGTACGAAACAATGTTGCCGTCCGCGGCCGACTGCTGTTGGGCGACGGAACACAGGTGGCGGAGGAGGTTGATAATGGCGACGATCAAGCTACCGAAGCTGATGGAGCCGAAGCTGTAGGTCAGAGAGCGCTTGAGCGCGCCGCGAGTCGCGCCCTTGGGGAAGTTGTTGACGCAGAAGTACCACGAGCCGTAGACCCCTGAAATGGTGACGTGAATCACGTTCTTGAGCACCTCCGAGATCCAGTACATGGCAAAGGTGATGAAGACGATCAGTCCGATAACCTTGCCCTGGCTGCACTGGCCACTCCTGCACTGAGGGTTGTTCTGCGACGGCTGGTACTTGGAGTAGGTCGCGACAAGGGTGACGGAGTACCAAGCCGCGAATGCGGCACCGAGCATGCCGCCCAGGAAGGAGACCAAGTAGACGTGGCCGTACTTCTTGGAGACCTGGATCGAAGTCTTGAGCATCAGAGCGGAGAAGGGGATGCGGGGGATCCAGCTGATGAAGGCGAAGACGAGGAAGACGCCAAAGATGAGGAAGACAATCCCGCCCGAGTAGTACTTGCGCGAGAGCATGTAGATTGCGGTGACGAGGGCGAAGACGATGTTGAGGATGCCCGTGACCCAGATGAAGGCCTTGGGGAAGAGGCGCGCCATCCAGACGTACGCATAGCTTAGAACGATTGCGACCGCGAGAACGAAGGCGAAGAGGACGATTGTGTTCGTGCTGAGGCCGAAGGTGTTACCTCCATCGTAGATGCCGCCGCCATTAAGGCCCTTTGTCGCAGAGTAGCCGGATATCGTCAGGCCTGAGACGGCCGCGAAGCCAAGGAAGACGGCAAGGAACTGCACAGAGTTATTAGCAATTGAATGCCATCGGATTGTCGCGGTGTTGGAGATGTCGCCACGACAGGATATATCTTACCAGAACAGCAGCCCAGAGGTCGTTCCACTTGGGCTTCTCAATCTTGAATGCTTCCTCAAAAGTGTACTTCTCGGGATCGTAGCCCTGGGGCGGCGCATTGTATCCGTAGCCGTTGCTCCCATTATCGAAGCCCTGCTGAGGAGGCGGCGGAGGGGCGTAGCCTTGCTGGTAACCGCCCTGCTGGTAGTTTTGTTGCTGATTGTAGTCTTGCTGGTATCCGTTGTTGTACTGCTGGGTATACTTTTGATCGTAGGGAGGCTGCTGTTGTTGCTGCTGGCCACCGTAGTAGCCAGCAGACTCGCCGTAGGGTTGCGACATTGCTTCGACGACGATGCAATTGACCTCGTTTGTCGGTCGTGGAAATGTCAGCCTGGGTGGACGATGGACGAATGGTGTGGTGATTGCTGTCTAGAAAGCAAGCTCTTGGCGAAGTGAGGTAGGTTGGAAGAAAACAAAACACAGCACTGGGTGAATAGGTAGCAAGGTCTCAGTCTCAAATGTGGTTGGAATGCAAATTCAATGACGGAGCTATTGAATCGACTAATAACGGGAGGAGCAGCCACCGCAGGCCGCTCTTTTCCTCTTTGGTCCCTCTTTCTACCCATCTCCCTCGCTCATCTGTGTACCATATTCAAGGTACCTTGATTATTATTCAGGTACCTGTGCGTGTGCGCTTTGCGCGGACTGTTCACTGGCGTAGCGCAAGCAGGAACAATTGGAATCAATCAGTTGGTTCTCCAAAAGGCCTCCCACCTACCTAAGGTACCATGCCTGCCCTGGATCAAACCATCATCGCACCTTGTCCGTAGAGAAACACCCAAACCCAAAAGGCCCCAACTGGAATCCATAAAGTAAGTTTAAAAGCCAATCCAGTTTAGCTCCGACCCGTGCCCCGTGCATAGTAACGTCATTGGGCAGGAACATCGAGACCTTGAATTTGAATCGGCCATCGTCACAGGGATTGGCAGCTTCCCTCAGCTGCGCAGGGGTTACGCGTCGATGTGCCGAGCGTCACGTGCCAAGGCTTGTCTGGGCCTTCCCGGTTCTTGGCGGGCCCCCAATCTTTCGAGATTGCTTATGTAACTCTTTCTTCACCTAATGCGGGAAGGTACCTTAATTCCCCAAAGTTCGCGTTTTCTCTTCATATTTCCTGGTACCAAATCATCGATGGACATGGGACGAACTAATGCTGTCTCAGTATTCTCACCAAGGTACAGAAAATTAGCGATAGCTCGACGGTTGACAGGCGATGAGTTGGTGTTGTTGTGCGACATTCCCGCAGCAACAAGGCACAATGTGTAAGGTACCTTATGTCATTGTCGAATCTGGTGACTGAACAGCTCATGACTGAGACAACTCCTCGGGTATCGGCACCGTGGAAACACCCCACTTCGAAGCTCGCAGCCACTCAATTCACTCGAGGCCCAGGGCCAAGCGAGACGTCGGCCCAGAATCCTCACACCTTGGTGGCCCCCAAAACAAGGCCCCGCGACTTGCAGGGACCCCGTTGAATAAACACCAAGCTCGCATGCTTGAGCCTGGGCCCTCGACAGACTGTTGGCAGCCTGTGACCTTTCCCATTCATTCGTTGCCGGCTACCTGGAGTGAGTTACTTGTTGAATGCGACTGATGGACCTCGAAATCTTAGGTAAGCTGTTTAGGTAGGTAGCTTACTATCCAGGTATCGTGCCTACTCGCAATGCGCAGAAGAACAAAGCTATTTACCTTACCTAAGCTAGGTCACATGATATTGATGATGTTGAGGTTATCGCAACACATCACCTCCTCTACCAAAGGGCGCAGGTATGAAGGAGTGAAGCACAATTTACAAAAAGCCTGTGCATATTTTGGCTTCTCTTTGATTCTTATGCGTAAGGCTTGGTTATCGTGAGCTATTTGACCTTTGGACACCTATCAATCATGCCGTAACATCTTCTGCCCGCCCCCGTGCCTCCTTCGATGGCACCGATCTTATGCAAGAGCATCCCTTCTTCTACACCGAGACACCTCATACCATCAATATTGTTCGTCTTGTAGCTTGCTTCATAGCTGATGTCATTATCTGGCTCGAACGGCTCCTGTCTTCGTATGTCTCGGTGAGACGTTCGCAACCTAAAAATCCGGCCTTCCAAGCACCCCCTTTATCCTGATCTACCCTGAAAGTCAGATCCGCTCAAAAACTTCATACAGTAGGCCGACACATTACTTCTCATTTGCGCTCTCTTGAGATTGATTATACGAGTAGAGAATGCCAGGCTGTAGGTTGCCGCCGCCGCCAAGTCTGGCAAGGAGCCAATAGCTTCGGATAGCGAATACGACTATCCCAGCGCCTCGCTCCAGAATCATTGAGGGAGCACAAATTGACCTCTATGCGAATGCGAGGCTGACGATATTCAGTCCGAGGAATAAAAATGTGGACAACGGTGGTGTGGCTGAGTTCCCGCGCAGACAGTCAACACCGCGGAAATGAGTTGACAATCAATTATAGTGTTGGCACGCTATGCCAAGATAAAGCACCGTCCTGACCGGTAGGCCCGCGACTCATACCATCAGTCGGGTGCTATGAAGCATACACATACAGACATTGGAATTCCAATGTTCTTATACATATATAAATGGGAAAGAACTTCAGTAGAATTCCTTTCACGACGGGACACATTTCAATAGCTGTTTCGCTACTACATTCACTTTAGACACCTCCAATATGATCAACTATAAGAAGCTCATTGCGGCTCTTCTGGCCAATGCGCTACA